TGGTCTTGAATTCTTGACCTCTTGATCTGCCCGCCTCCACAACCTAAAGTGCTGGGATTACAGGCATGAGTCATCGTGCCTGGCCAACTCCCAATTTTCTAAGTACAGTCCTGGAGGAAGTTGTCCCTAGTTTGTGAGATGCAGGCAGAGGCATGTGTGTTAAGGATGGAAGACGTGGAGGTGGTGATGGGAAGAGAGTAGAAGGAAGACCAAAAGGTGTAGCCGAAAGAAGAGGAACAAAAAAAAGGGGTTTCTGCCTCCTTTATTCTTGCAGAGTCTGAGTACCTTAAGGAAATAAAGTCTTACTGCCTAGCAAGTCAGACTGGATGGCTTATAGGCTGTGGAATCAAACTTCCTGTCCTGTTTTCCTTGCAGGATGTGGTGGAACTCTTTATGGAGACAGAGGCTCATTCACGAGCCCCGGCTATCCAGGCACATACCCAAACAACACGCACTGCGAGTGGGCCCTCGTGGCTCCTGCTGGAAGGCTTGTCACCGTCAACTTTTACTTCATCAGCATTGACGATCCAGGAGACTGTGTCCACAACTACCTGATACTCCACGATGGACCCAACGCCAGCTCTCCGTCCTCTGGACCATACTGCGGAGGCGTGAGTGAAACATTTTATATTCCCATGTTATTTTTAGACAGAGAGTCACTTAGTGTAGCCTTTTTTTTTTTTTTTTTTTCTTGAGACAGAGTCTTGCTCTTGTAGCCCAGGCTGGAGTGCAGTGGTGTGATCTTGGCTCACTGCAACCTCTGCCTCCCAGGTTCAAGCGATTCTTCTGCCTCAGCCTCCTGAGTAGCTGGGATTACAGGTGCCTGCCACCATGCCTGGCTAATTTTTGTACTTTTTAGTAGAGATGGGGTTTCACCATGTTGGCCAGGCTGGTCGTGGAACTCCTGACCTCAGGTGATCTGTCTGCCTCAGCCTCCCCAAGTGCCTCGTGTAGACTTTTAAAGGCAGACACATGCAGAGTAGGAAGCACAGCCTTTAACAAATTGAACAGTTTTCCGACTTGCCTTTCTATTCTGGGAGCATCAGTGCCATCTGGTGGACATTGCATTAAATTACTATTAATAGTTACCAAAGTCAGCTGTGTCAGAATCACCTGTGGAGTTACTTACATAAGACTTTCATTTCCCACTGAAACCCGCTGAATCAGGATTTCCCAGGGAGGAGCCACAACATGCTGTTTTTTAAAAGCTCCCACTGTGACACCAGTGCTCCGCCTAGGGTTGAATACCCATATTTATTTGGCATAAATAGAACCATAGAAAATTTGGATACCTTCCTCTGTTTTATCTACTTCTTGCTGAAAGTTTCAGGAATTCTTTGAAGAAATGGTGACTGATAGTGGCGTTTATGTAAAGCTCTGATGTCTTCCCGAAACAACTCAGAATCTGACATCGATTCAATATTGCAGGCTTGATCCTCTCATTTTATGTGCAAGTAGATACTTAAAGAGAGTAAGGGCTCACACCTGTAATCCCAGCACTTTGGGATACAAAAATTAGCCGGCATAGTTGCACATGCCTGTAATCACAGCTATTCCGGAGGCTAAGGCAGGAGGATCGTTTGAGCCTAGTAGGCAGAGGGTGCAGTGAACCGAGATGCGCCACTGCACTCCAGCCTGGGCTACAGAACCAGACTCCATCTCAAAAAATGAGAGTAAGTAAGCAAAAAGTGGCTGCTGGCAAGCAGGTATGTGTTTCTAATTTTTCTGCTCTTTAATCACTTAAGGCTATGTAATCAAACTAGACAGAGAACTGTATCAGCTGGAAATCTAGATGGTTTTTAAAATATAACTATTTAGAAAACTGATAAATGCTATTTTCAGAAGTATCAGAAAATAGACTAATTTTTCTAAAACGCTGGCCATTCTCATATATTCTTAACACCTTTCTTTGAACATATTTGCATATACATGTATATTTTTTACTATTTGATGGTGTGTTTTTTCCGCTTACCAATATATCATTAATATCTTATATCAATAAAACACTGGTGCATCATAGCTAATGTTTGGAGAGTATTCCATTGCATGAGTACAGCCTAATTTATTTAACGAAACCCCTCTAAGTAGGCGTTTAGGTCTCTTGAACTTTTCCCAACTACAGACAATACTTAATAAACCTTTTGGTAGTGATGTCTTTATACAAAGAGTTACATTACTTGGTGAGAAATGGTGATCACAGGACCAGCAGGCACTATCTCAGTGATGCACAGAAGACCCACAGAGAGAGAGAGCCCAGTAAATGTGCAACGCATCAGATTTAGAAGCTAACCAGCTCTTAGACACTGAATTGAAATTTACAAACATTTCGAAAGGGAGGAAAAGAGACAATTTTAACAATACCATGACTTTATATTGGTAGGCTGTGTGTGTGTGTGTGTGTGTGTGCACGCACATGGTTTTCAGTGGCTTGCAAACATACAACCCCATTTGATCCCCACAGGGACAATCCCATAAAGTGGAAAGAACGAGTATATCCTGGATGTTGCTGATAAAAGAAAACTGAGTCACTAAGAAAAGTGACTGCCATTTAACTCCATGCCACGTTAAGTTGAAATCTATAGCAAGATACATCAATTTTTTTACCAGTTGGTGTTTACAGTATTTTCCCAGTTTTACATTTTCCTTTATAAATGTGGACATAATTTTATGTGTAATTATTTTTTGATTTCTTTAGCCCTTTATAAATGTTAAACATAAATGAAAAAATGTAAAACCTAAGTATAAAACATAGTCAATTTACATACAGAGGAAGCTCTTATTTTGCTAATATTTACATACTTAAAACTTGTAAGCCTTTTTACATTCTACCTACATATTTACATGCATATTTACATACATACAAAAGTTGAACTGAATACTTATTACAAAAGAATACAACTTTTGTATGTATACTCCTTAAGTATACAGTTCAACTTTTGCATGTAAATATGTATGTAAAATGTAAACATGTAATATTTATATACATACAGTACACACATACAATTTACATACAGAGGCAGCTCCTTATTTGGCTAATATGCAGACCATCCCCTGATTCAGGGATATTTTATGTTATGGTAAATACCATTGTTCACAGGGAAATCGTGTATCCCTTGCAGCTACAGAATATGAACACCTAGCACATGAAAGAATAACGGGAAACACAATGAGACTCAAAGAAGATTCCGAAGCTTCTGCTGACTGTACATACTAGTTTGTCAGTATAAAAGAAGGTGTTGAAATTTGGAAGCAGATTAAAATGGAAGTAAAAAGTAGATGTGCACAGGAATAAAAATGTTGTATATACCTTGATATGTCACTTACAGAAAAAAATCTACACTCAAAGAAGTGAGTGTCTTGGAAATAAGTCTGTGTTTTGATGACTTTGGGGTAGGGCTGAGGCAGGAAAGCCCAGTAATGTTTAAGTGTCACGAAAGCAGAGCTTTTTGCCTGTTTTGCTCATTTTTTAATATCTCTAGTGTTAAAAACAATACCTGCATGTGGCAGTGCCTTGATCAATATCTGCCAAATGAATGAATACAAAGTGAGAGAAAATGGGGACACATCTATCCCTTCAACACGCACAGAGACACGCACTGTTCCATAGAAGTATCTGAAAATAAATCCCAAGGGGGAGACGATAAACATTGAAGATGAAAACAGCATATTTTACTTACTATGATCATTTTAATTACCTATGTTTCTTTAAAAAAAAAATAAATCTGCAGTAAGAACTTGAATAAAAAGTTCAAGGTTTTTGAGATAAAATTTATTTTATTGAGACAAAATTTACATATCATACAATTCACCTCCTGAAAGGACACAATTCAGTGGTTTTTAGTAGATTCACAGAGTTGTGTGGCCATTATCAGCACAGCCAATTTTGGGACACTTTCATTACCCCTCAAAAGAAATGCCGTACCCGTTAGCAGTCCTTCCTTATTTTCCCTTAACTCACCACACCCAGAAATATTCCTTTGTAAAGCATTTGCATTCATTCTTTGCAAGGTTACTTCAAGAAATACATGCAGGTTCACTGTAAATTCTAAAAATTTCTATATGTGGTACTTTGTTACTAGGCTAACATTTCTAGAAAAACGTTCAAATATGTGAAATATATAATTTGATACTGTTTTTTTTTTTTTTGTCAATTTTAGGACACCAGCATAGCTCCCTTCGTGGCTTCCTCAAATCAGGTCTTCATCATATTTCATGCTGATTACGCACGGCATCCGTCTGCATTCCGATTAACTTGGGACAGCTAAGTGGGTAACAACTCAGGTTCATTCAGCATTTGCCCTCTGCAGCACGCTGGACAGGACTCTGCCGTTTTATACACCACCCCGCCTGTGCCACGGAGAGTAAGCTGAACTTCTGTGTTTTTCACCAAACCATGGATAGAATCAATATTTGTAGGCTGCGTACAGTGGCTCATGCCTGTAATCTCAGCAGTTTGGAAGGCCGAGGCAGGTGGATCACCTGAGGTCAAGAGTTTGAGACCAGCCTGGCCGACATGGTGAAACCCTGTCTCTACTAAAAATACAAGAATTAGCCAGGCTTGGTGGTGGGAGCCTGGAATCCCAGCTATTCAAGAGGCAGAGGCAGGAGAATTGGTTGAACCTGGGAGGCAGAGGTTGCAGTGAGCCGAGATCACACCACTGCACTCTAGCCTGGGTGACAGAGTGAGATTCCATCTCAGAAAAAATTTAAAAATCAATATTTGTACATTTTCTTGAACACAGAATATAGCTTCTTGAGTGTGCATTTCATTCTAATATTTCAAGCTGAAATTTTAAAAAACTTGGAGAAACTTGGAAATGATTATGGCATATGTGATGTACATTTTTAAAAGTTAATAATAATAGCCAGGGGCAGTGGCTCACACCTGTAATCCCAGCACTTTGGGAGACCATGGTGGGTGGATTGCTTGAACCTAGGAGTTTGAGACCAGCCTGGGCAACAAAATGAGACGTAAGTTCTACAGAAAAATAAAAAAATTAGCTGGGCATGGTGGCACGCATCTGTGGTTCCAGCTACACAGGAGGCTGAAGCAGGAGGATCACGTAAGCCCAGTAGGTAAAGGCTGCAGAGAAACCCTGTGAACCACTGTACTCCAGCCTGGGCGACCTGGAGAGACCCTGTCCCAAAAATGACAACAAGAACAATAAAAGTTAATGATAATATAGAAATATAAGTTTCATGTGACTGTTCAATTAGGGATAATAAACATTATTGAATTGTACACACTTATGCTGCATTAGTTTTTGACTTATTAAAACTCTTTCACTATGGGGCATATCTAACTTTTCCAGTTTAATTTTTACATTTGGGCAAAGAATTTAATATATATAGAGGAGTCTTCCAGAGCATCAGTTCTAGAGCCACGCTGCCTGAGTTTGAATTTGAGTTTCACTATTAAGTGCTTACTTAATCTCTTTGTGCTCAGTTTCTTTATTTGTTTAAGGGGATTATTTTACCTGTGTTACAGGGTTGCAGTAATTAAGTATATATGTGTGAAGATGCAGAATATACCTGGTACATATTAAGTAATCAGTAAGTGGCAGCTTCTATGTCCATTAGTAGTAGTATGACTCACCTTCATACCATACAGATGTACCTGCTTTTCCCACACTCCTCCAAAGCCAGGCCCTATGTTTACCTCTTGCCATGCCCCTGTGTCAATCTCAGCTTCTCCCAAGGTCTTGACTACAGAGAAATCTGCTGTAACCTCTGAATTCTCTATTTCCCTCCCATTTGTCTCAAACTTCTGTTTTTCCTGGCCACACTGAAGCTTTTCTTTATCTCCAGGACTCTGTGCTCTCCTGGTTATCTGAGTATTCTCCACTCCCTTGTAGAATGGTGGTCCTCTTCACACAGCTCCACTAGGCAGTGCCCTAGAAGGAACTCAGTGTGGGGCCTCCAACCCCACATTTCCCTGCTATACTGCCCTAGTAGAGGTTCTCTGTGAGGATTCTGCCCCTGCAGAAGGCTTCTTCCTGGAAGCCCAGGCTTTTCCATACTGCCTCTGAAATCTAGGCAGAAGCTGCCAAGAATCTACCACTCTCGTACTCTGTGTGCCTGCAGGTTTAACACTATGTGGAAGCTGCCAAGGCTTATGGCTTTTATTCTCCAGAGTGGCATACCAAATTGTACCTGGGCCTCTTTGAGCCTCACCTGGAGATGGAGTGACCAGGATGTGGGGAGCAGTGTCTTGAGGCTGTAGAGGGAAGCAGGGCCCTGGACTTGGCCCATGAAATCATTCTTTCCTCCTAGACCTCTGGGCCTGTGATGGGAGGGGTTTCAGCAAAGGTTTCTGCAATGCCTATGAGGCCTTTTCTCCATTATCTTGGATATTAGCACTTTACTCCCTTTTAGTTATGCAAATATCTGTAGCAAGTGTATAATCTGCAGCCTACTTGAATTCTTCTCCTGAAAACCTTTTTTTTCTCTGCCATATGGCCAGGCTGTAAAATTTTACACTCCGCTTTCCTTTTTAATATAAGTTCCAACTTGAAGTCATTTCTTGGCTCCCACATCTGAGCACATGCTATTAGAAGCAGCCAGGCCAAATCATCAACACTTTTCTGCTTAGAACTTTTTCCCACCAGATACCCCAGGTTGCCACTTTTAAGTCCAAACTTCCACAGATTCCTAGGGCAGGAACAGAATGCAGCCAAGGTCTTTACTAATGCATAATATGTGTCACCTTTGCTCCAGTTCCCACTAAGTTCCTCATTACCATCCAAGACCTGGCAGCCTGGACTTCATTATCCCTGTATCACTATCATAATTTTAGTCACAACTTTAAACCAGTCTCTAAGAAGTTCCACATTTTCCCTCATCTTTCAGTCTTCTGAGTCCTTCAAACTCTTCCAACCTCTACCCATTGCCTTGTTCCAAAGTCAGTTCCACATTTTCAGATATTTTTATAACAAAACCCCATTCCTGGTACCAATTTTCTGTATTAGATCATTCTTGCATTGATATAAATAAATACCTGAAACTGGATAATTTATAAAGAAAAGAGGTTTAATCTGCTCACAGTTCTCTAGCCTTTATAGGAAACATGGTGCTTGGCTTTTGGGGAGGCCTCTGGAAGCTCATAATCATGAAAGATGGTGAAGGGGAAACAGGCAAATAACATGGTGAAAGCAGGAGCAAGATAGCGAGAGTAGGGGGCAGGTGCCACACACTTTTAAGTGACCAGATCTCATGTGAACTGAAAGCGAGAGGCCCAAGCCATTCATGAGGGATCCACCCCCAAGAGCTAAACACCTTCTACCAGGCCCACCTCCAACATTGGGTATTACAACTCAACATGAGATTTGGGCAAGCACAAATATCCAAACTATATTATGTATTTACTCTCAAGAGCACAGGGTTTCTGTAAGCACCACCACTGCCTATTCCTTAACACAGCGTGTTAACTTAATTACAAATAAACAATATGGTTTGCAATTTAACAAGAAGTAGAACGTTCAATAGCACATCCTTATCTCCAATGCTGCCAGACATGTAACGAAGGTAATTATTAGCTTCTTTTTCATAAGAAAATTCAATGCTTTTATAAAGTTTTTCACTGCCTCTCAAAAAGCTGAAGCCTTTACAAAGGAGATTGGCTTTATGTTAATTATGCAAAATCAAGGGTTATAAGAACATGAGACCAAGTGAATGAAAGAAACTGTGGAATGTATTACTTCATCTTATTCTAATACTCAGCTTGCAGAGGAATTATTTCTGGACAGAGTATGGAGCCACATAAATAAAATATTCTCACCTTAGAAATTCAGCTACCCAGGAGGCTGAGGCAGGAGAATCGCTTGAACCCAGGAGGCAGAGGTTTCAGTGAGCTGACATTGCGCCACGCACTCCAGCCTGGGTGACAGAGTGAGACTCCATCTCAAAAATAAAAAGGATTCCTGCTCCCTTTTTGTGTTATGGATAGATATATCAACTTTATAGATGACATTTCTATTGGAAAGGACAGTGACTGCAATGAATAACAACAAATCCAAGGGGTCTTGATAAGCTACAACAATGGGCCAATTGTAACAGATAAAATGTGATAGCTGTGACATCTTCCTCTTTTATGTAAAAAATGAATTGCAAAGGTACAGAATACAGGGAAAGTTTAACAATAACATGAAATGACACAGTACTTTTCTGAAAGCAAGATTAACATGATGTAGCTGTCAAAAAAAATGGACGCTTTGATCACGGATTGCGTTATTAGAGTAACAGTATCATTTCCACTGAGAAGGGCGTGCTTTTCTATGAGGCATGTCGGAATATCCGGGAGGTGTGTACATGAAATTGAGGAAAGCACAGTCAATGCCATTATGTAATTTTAAAATTAAAAATACTGAAAAAAAAGAGACAAAATGAAGCTTTACAAAATCTTCCAAGCTATGCATCTAGGAAATAAACATTGATTTTTTTAATGGTTTAGGGAATGGTCAAGTTTGGGAGAATGCCATTTTCATGTATAGCAAAAGGGAAGTAGTCGTAATCAGTTTTGAGTAATTCAACTGGAAGATGGAGAAACAATAACATTATTATTGTAATAAATAACATTATTATACAACAATAATGTTAATTACCCATGGATTGTGTTAGCTCCAGGCTTCAGCAATATGTCTGTACTGAATAAAAGCAAGCAGCAGGCTGGGCCCAAAGGCTCACACCAGTAATCCCAGCACTTTGGGAGGCTGAGGGGGGCAGATCAGGAGGTCACAAGTTCAAGACCAACCTGATCAACATAGTGAAATCCCACCTCTACTAAAAATACAAAAAAAATGTAGCTGGGCTTGGTGGTGGGTGCCTGCAATCTCAGCTCCTCGGAGGCTAAGGCAGGAGAATCACTTGAACCTGGGAGGTGCAAGTTGCAGTGAGCTGAGATTGTGCCACTGCACTCAAGCCTGGGTGTCAGTGCAAGACTCTGTCTCAAGAAAAAAAAAAATCAAGCTGCTTCAGCTGTTTGGGGCTACTCTTTTCTTTGGCCACTAGTGTCAGGCAGCCCCCTGGCTGCTCTCACACAGCATATCTGTGTCTGAGTGCTCCTCTCATCCGTTGCTGGGCCAGGGTCTGCAGACGGACCCAGCATTGGGACTCTCGATTTCAGGTGATATATGGATGTGGGGCTGGCAGGTGCAGTGTGTGGAGCTAAAACCAAAGTAATGGAGTTGCCTCAGTTGGCACTCACAATCCACCATTTCCCTTCAGCAGCAAAGGTAGCCTGGCAATGACCTGCAGGCAGAACACTGGATTCTTGCCGCTAAAGAAATCCAACAATTATCCCAGGGACCAAGGAGAAAAACATAATACAAACAAGAGAGGAAAGAAACCACTGCAGCTACCTAGAAAAATCAGTTTAGATCTTCACACCTGAACTCAAAAGAACAACCAAGAATCAATCACCAGAGAGAGGAAGAATCTTTCTTTTTTAGGGGAAAGACGAGATAAACACACACAAGAATGGACCCTTGAAGAAACATAATTTAGTGAACAGAAGAGAGGTTTAAAAACTATTATCCTTAGTGATACTTAGGAAGGGTGTTAATACAGAGAAACAAGAGTTGGGCTGTAGTCCCATAGGGCTGGTGTCCTTATAAGAAGAGGAAGATACACCAAGAGTGTGACTGCACAGATAAAATGCCCTGGGAGGACACCAAGAGAAAAAGTCATCCACAAGCCAAGGGGAGCGTCCACAGGATAAATCAAATCTGCTAGCACCTTGATCTTGAACTTCCAGAATTGTGAGAAATTTCTGTCGTTTAAGCCATCCAGTCTGTGGTATATTGTTATGCCAGCCCAAGCCGACTAACACAGGTATTACTGTCTTCAGCCTACATAGTCAAGATTCACTATTAGAAACTGATGGGACAAGGCTGGGCGTGGTGGCTCAGGCCTGTAATCCCAGCACTTTAGGATGCTGAGGGCAGATCACCTGAGGTCAGGAGTTTGAGATCAGCCTGGCCAACATGGTAAAACCCCATCTCTACTAAAATACTAAAAATTAGCTGGGCTTGCTGGCACATGCCTGGGGTCCCAGCGACTTGGGAGGCTGAGGCAGGGGAATGGCTTGAACCAGGGTGGCGGAGGCTGCAATAAGCTGAGATTGCACCACTGCACTCCAGCCTGGCGACAGAGCAAGACTCCGTCACAACAACAACAAAAAAGAAATTGATGGAATAAGAAAAATTCTGATTTTTTTAAAAGCACTTTTGCTTTAAAAGATATAATGATTCAAGAGATATGTATTAGGAGATTACCAACTAATACATATAGATTAAATCAGTGGATGCCAAAACTAGTGGGTAAAAATTAGATGAGGAATGGGACATAACCAAGTAGCACCTACCCCCAAGCATCATTTTTAATCATAAAGAAAAAAATAGTAACTTCATGGTGAAGAAATCTGGCAGATACCACCTTACCAAGTGAACATCACCAATACTGGGGGAAACCAATGTCATCTGCACCTCGATATGCACCGGAAAAGACACATCGCTTTAGTGGTGTTTCTTCAAAAATTCATATCCTGAAAGGGAACATCAGACAAACTCACTTTAAAGGATATTCCACACAATACCTGGTCTGTACTCTTTAATAATGTCTAGTTCAATACATACAAAAGCCAAGGAACAGCTCTAGATCAAAGAAGACTAATACAGAAATAACCTTTTCATCTGAAATGTTTTTTAACCAAAAAAAAAAAAAAAAAAAAAAAGAGTGCAGATCTTTTTTTATACAACTGCTTCAGAGTTATGATTACATTATTTTACTGCATCTGAAGGCTTTGATCCCTACTACAATCTACAATATATAAATGCATATGTGTGGTATCCGTCCGTCTATCATCAATGTAGGTGACAAAGGAGAAAAGTGCCTGCTGCCAATCTGTTCCAGAGCATGTAACTGTCTTTCAGAACAGGTTTTTGGGTGAGAGCAGCACAGGATATTGCTGGATGTCTGAGACTGGGTCAGGAAATAGGGAGGTAGAGGGCAGCAGTTTTGCTAGAATTCAAAAGTTGATTGCTTTTGGAAGAGACAGCGGGAGATTCCTGTAAACAAGAATATAATGTTTCACAGATGTGAAAGTCACAACTGGGAAAGACGCATCGCTTTAGTGGTGTTTTCAAATGACTTAAAATGGTAGGGTTTTACTTGTAGCTTCTAGCCCTGAGGGTAGTTCTCGTTGCTCAAGAGCAAAAGGGTCAGGGGTAAAAGCCAGCCTTAGAAACCAACAAGATGTTAAAAAAGATTTCCAGTGGGGCACTGGGAAAACGCAGACCGCGCTGGAATCCCTACCTGGAGGAGCTCTTAATAGGGAGGGAGGCTGCGTGACCCACAGGATCACTCAGAGACACAATATGGAGATAGGACTCAGGGTAGCAGCTTCTGGAGAATGGAGCTGCAATTACAGAAGTGAAACATTTGTAGACAATTTACTCCCAGCTTTTGCAACACCCACCCTCTGTCACCACCTTCCCTTACTCAGTCGAGTCAAAAATCTTACCCGCTTCCGCCCACAGCCCTCTGGGCTGCGACCTACCAACTGAGCATGCGCCAAATCCAGGGTGCACGTACCAACTTTCACCCAATCAGAGTGCCAAGCCGCGGCGTGGACGCCACAGAATTTAACTAACCTCGGCGTGGGGCGGGGTCTCGAAGCGAGTAACAAACGTGATTGGCCATCCTCCTCTACATACTTATAAGGGTGGAGCCTGGTCCGGGAGCCACGTCTAGCAAGCTGTTCTCCTAATTTGGGTAGGGTCGGGCGTGGAGCTGGCAGCGGCGCGGTGTGCGCCTGCGCGGAGTGCCGAGACAGGGCGTGTTCGCTGTTCCGTACCGGTGTTGTGGAGAACCAAGGCATCTCCCGCCGCCGGAGTGCGTCCTGCTGAAGCCTGTGGTTGCACGCCCACCCTGTTAGGGGCTGCTCTCCGCGGTGAGTGTGTGCGGCGTTGCACTTGGGGTTGCTTCTCTTTGCGTGGCCGGATCGGGGCTGGATCCTTCCCACTCCCCTGCCCCGCCCCATTCTCTTCCAGCACCCGGACCAGCTCCGGGGACGCCCTCGGACGCCCACCCTCTCCAACCCTGGGGAAGCCCCAGAGTGGCAGCCAAGGCCTCTTTCCGCTCCTGACCTTCCTGCCATCGCCCACGTGCTTTGTTGTTGTTTGCTGCAGACCATGTCCAAGTCCCTAAAGAAGTTGGTGGAGGAGAGCCGGGAGAAGAACCAGCCCGAAGTGGACATGAGTGACCGGGGCATCTCCAACATGCTGGATGTCAACGGCCTGTGTGAGTTTTCGGGCAGGACCCTCCCGTGGATGAGCTGCAAGGGTTTCTAAGTTTGCCAAGTCACTGTTAGTCCTGCTGAGAGAGATTATAATGGTTTAGACCCCAGTCTCTGCTTGTAAGCATCACTTCTCAGGGGCTTCGCGCAGAGGGTTTGCAGGTGTGTTTGTTCCTTTCCACCTGGAAAGCGATCCTGAGAGTCCACGATGAGAATTACACAGACAGCTGTGCCTCATCGGTTGTCTCTGCTTTATGGCACTGGAGTGGATTTTCCACAGTTTAATAGCCACTTTATTTTTTAATTGAGAATTAATTTTGAGTCTTTCCGTCTCCTAATACAGTCTTTGTCCATGAACAGATGACACACACGAGTTGCATCATTAATAAGCATTCTTGTGCCTGGAGCATTTTAAGCATTTCTTGAATCTTTACTTTCTTTTGAGTGTTTATTCTAACTTGGCTCAGGCTTTTGTTACCTCCTCATGCTGTGGTGAAATCCTCCTAACTTGCCCTTCAGTTTCACTGCGCAGTTTAATCACTGGATCACTTTCAGTGTTATTTTCCTGTAAACTACCCCTCCGCCGGTCTATAGTATTATCCTCTCTCTTAAAATCAGGGATTGCAAATTCACATGCCTTCAAGTGAGGGCGGTCATGAACTCCGTAATACGTATGCCACCTGAAGGGGCCAGCTGCTGCACCTGCTTCTCAGACACGTGTCACCATAGGAATGTTGGCCTAGTGTGCTAGATTATTTTCTTAAAGGAGCCAAGATTCTATGCTTTTATATTTTTATTTTTTAGTTTTTGAGATGGAGTCTCACTCTGTCACCCAGGCTGGAGTGCAGTGGTGCGATCTCGGCTCACTGCAACCTGTGCCTTCCAGGTTCAAGCAATTATCCTGCTTCAGCCTCTGGAGGAGCTGGGATTACAGGCACATGACACCATACCTGGCTACTTTTTTGTATTTTTAGTAGAGATGGGGTTTTGCCATTTTGGCCAGGCTGGTCTCAAACTCCTGACTGCTGGAACTCCTTGTGATCCACCTGCCTTGGCCTCCCAAAGTGCTGGGATTATAGGCATGAGCCACTGCGCCCGACCTGATTCTATACTTTTATATGAAATTTGCTAAGTTTTAGTTGTTGGCTACTAATTCCAACATTTGAAAAACCTGTGATGAGTGAAAGCACTTCTTCAGGCTGACATGGCTTGGGTTTAAACCCTCTCCACATTTCTCCAGGTTTGTTGGGGTGGCGTTCAAGGCCTTTCTGAATCTGAACACAACCTTATCCTTCCATGCAGTTGGCATTCCAGTCACTTGGAACCTATTGCCCTTCCTGGATGAGAGTCTACTCGTTCAGCTCTTGGTGCCTTTGCGAATTCTGTTTTCTCTCTTTCTCACTCTTTTGCACCTGAAATTCTTTTACTTCTAAGAGTCTGCTAGACATCACCACCTGTGTTAAATCTCCCTTTGCACCAAGCTAACATAGCCACTCCCTCTTCTGTGAAGGTGGATGTGTGCCTTGCTTTGTGACTCCTGTTACATAGGATTGTAATGATTTTTTTTTTTTGAGACGGAGTTTCGCTCTTGTTACCCAGGCTGGAGTGCAATGGCACGATCTCGGCTCACCGCAACCTCCGCCTCCTGGGTTCAGGCAATTCTCCTGCCTCAGCCTCCTGAGTAGCTGGGATTACAGGCACGCACCACCATGCCCAGCTAATTTTTTGTATTGTTAGTGGAGATTTCACCATGGGGTTTCACCATGTTGACCAGGATGGTCTCGATCTGTTGACCTCATGATCCACCAGCCTCAGCCTCCCAAAGTGCTGGGATTACAGGCCACCGTGCCCGGCCCCCCCCCTTTTTTTTTTTTTTTTTAGACAGTGTGGCTTTGTCACCAGGCTGGAGTGCAGTGGTGTGATCCTGGCTCACTGCAACCTCTACCTCCTGGGTTCGAGTGATTCTCCTTCCTCAGCCTCCTGAGTAGCTGGGACTACAGGTGTGCGTCACCACACCCAGCTAGTTTTTGTATTTTTAGTAGAGACAGGGTTTCACCATGTTGGCTAGGGTGGTCTCTATCTCTCAACCTTGTGATCCGACCGCCTCAGCCTCCCAAAGTGAGCCACAGGCCTGGCCATGATTTTGTTTTTTTAATCTAGAAGTCTCTCTTCTCCACTGGGACATTGGGAAGACAAAAGCTGTGCAATATTCATGGTTTATAATAGTGCCTGGAGCACAGTAGATTGAGCACAAAAATAGTTGAGGAATGACAAAAATGAAAGAATGATGGGTTAGGCCCATGAGTGTGTGAGATCAGGTCCAGGATGTGACAAGTGAGAAGAAGGGAGGTGAAAGGTGACGGATACCCAGTTAGGTGTGGAGAGAATGGTAGAGTCAGGTTTACTGTGAATCCATGGTTTTGACGGGGACAGAGATCGGAGTTGATGCTATTGCTACGTCTTGGCAGAAGGAAAAGGGAGGAAACGTAGATGATTTGCATTTTGTGGCCTTAATGAAAATATGTGCCATTCAACTTTGTGTACTGTTTAGCCTCTCAGCCTTGGTGTGTGTTGGTCTCTTGCGTTCCATAAGGGTCCTTGCTGTCAGCAACAGAGCAGATGTCTCTGGAACTGAGGATCTGGGTGTGCCCCTTGCTGCCCCTGCCTGGCTCTGCCATGATCATGGTCATTACTGGGGGCACTGTTGATAGGAGGAGAAAGAGAAGGGGATGCCTGGTACAGTGTGAGTCTTGGCCCCACAGCCTTGCTCCCGCCAGCACCTGCTCTCACCATGTAGGAGAGAGAGGCTGCTTTCAGCAGAGGAGCTTTTATACCCTTCGGCTTTTGAAGAGACTTTATGTAATATTTATAAATGGGCAGAGTGGCTTAGCTATTTCGGTTTGGCTCCGTTATCTCTTTGAAGCCTTGGCTTTTATTAAGGAAGAAAAGATAGCCACTTGCTTCCTGAAAAAGTACGTTTCCAGTATAACATTGGGTGGTAAAAAGCAAGATCATTCTAAAATTTTCCTAAAGAAGTAGCTAACGAAGAATAACAGTACTTTTTTGGGAAGTTGGGTGGAAGTGAATTTGGAGATTTCCATAGTCCACCTTCTCTGGCTTCTGTATCATTGACCCAAGGCTGCTTTCTGCAAACTCCCTGACCGCGGGACTCCTTGGAGGCTAGAGAGTTCCAGAATCCTCTTTTGAGCCTCCACCAGGACTCAGTTCTCAGGAGTGCATACACAGTGTCACCATGCTTAATATATGCAAGTATTAAAATAGTTCACATGGCTACCTTAGTATAAGAATTTTTGTTTTCTGCAAACAGGCTCTTGCTGTGACACCCAGGCTGGAGTGCAGTGGTGCAATCACGGCTCACTGCAGCCTCAACCTCCCAGGCTCAAGTGATCCTCCCACCTCAGCCTCCCGAGTAGCTGGGACTATAGGTACACATCACCATGCTTGGCAATAGAGATGGGGTATTGCTACGCTGCCCAGGCTGGCCTCAAAACTCCTGGGCTCAGGGAGTCCTCCCATCTTGGCCTCCCAAAGTGCTGGCATTACAGATGTGAGCCACCGCACCCAACCTCCATGTTCCTTTACTGACAAAATTTTAGCTGTAACCAGGAAGTTTCATATATCAGTATCCAGAATAAGCCCAAGGAGCACTTAACTTGCATGTACAGAGAATGGTTTTCTTGCATTTCAAGCTTTCCCTTCGTTATTCTTACTTTGTTTAATTTCCCAAAAGGTGAGAGTTAAGCTTTGAAGTTAACAGTCAGGTTTTGTACGAGGCATATGAGAGCCTGTCTCTCTTCTTGGGAGCGTTATGTCTTATAACGCAGCACTTCCTTAGGGGCAGCAAATTACCTCTGAAAGATGTTTTGAGGAGTGTAGGTACCAAGAGCTTTCTGTTGGGGAAACGTCTTTGGCTGGAGACAGATATTAGGCCGGTTCTGCAGTTTTCTAGCAGCTCAGCAGATTCTAGAAATGCTCATTTCTGACCAGGAGAGGCAGAGGGGTACAGAGCATATGAGGGAACTTGGATACGGATAGATGTAGGTTCAAATTCTGCTGCTTAGTACAGTGTGACCTTAGAGAAGCTACTTAGCCTCTCTGAGCCTCAAGTTCCTTATCGAATGGTACCCTAAGTAACCATTTCATAGGACTGGCTTAATGGTTCACCTTAAATGCAATAATACATTTTAAATGTTAGTTATTAACTAGTTAGTGTTAGATGCAATAATGCACATTAAATGTTAACTATTAGTGTGAATATCCAGATATAGGCCCCTATACCTCAGA